GCTCCCACTGCCCTTGGGCAGGCTCAGGTCTGGCTGAGTCTCGCCCTGGCCCGGCCATGAAAGAGCAGATGGGCTTTCTTTCCCGGAACATCCTCTCCTCACTGTTTCCTCTACTCCCCTGCCACACCTCCTCCAGAAGGCCTGCTGGATCAGCCTCTCCCTGCCCCTCGGGTACCACATTGCCTTCCAGGTCCCCTAACTCATTACTGAACTTGGGCCAGCACCGCACCCTCTAGGAGCACAGGAAAGTTTCCCAAACGGAGGTCTGCCCAGTCTGGCACAGGCTTGGCTGCTAGTAATTGCTGAACCACGGTGGGGTGGGGGTGAAGGGAGGCTGTTCTGGAGGTGTCTGAGGATCAACGGTAGGAGGCCCACGAAGTCACAGCACTCCCTCACTGTATTCTTCCTCTTGGAGCTTTTGTCGACGGGTACCTACAGACCTGCTTGGGTACTCAAGGGGTGCAGTGGAAGCGTGGCCAGAGCTGGTTACCACTCAAAGTGCCAGGCACTCTGAAAGGAACCATGTCACCTGGGGGGGGGGAGGAGGAGACTGGAGTGGTGGCTTGAGACTCACCTGCCCCCTCGCAGGTAGAGGGAAGGAGGGGAGGGGAGACTGCAGAGAGGAGGCCAAGACCTGATCTTGCTGGGCACCAACCACCCAGGGCCACCCGCACCTTCTCACGCCATCTCACCATCGGCCACTTTGGTTAGTTTTTGCACTTGGGCCCAGGTTCTCTCTACAGTTGGCCTTATGCAAGCAAATTCTTCAACCAAGGACCTCCCCTACGCCCCTGCTCAGGCAGACTTAAGCGGAGCTCTCTGGGTACCCACCAGCTGCCGGGTGGGAGGGGGAGCAGCTAAGAGATCTGCCCCAGCCCAGGGTCCTCGCAGCTCCTCCCACGCTAAGCCCCACTTGGGCCTAGCTCCCATCTTGGGCCTGGAATGAGCAGCCCCAGATTCAGGTGGTGTCCAATAACGGGAACGTTTTCTAGGACAGGTGCACGGGTGGTTCCTCTGAGACACCAGCCAGGAATATGTAGGTCAACCTAAATAACCGTTACAGCACCAGGAAAAGCCTGGGCAGGTTCAAATAAAGATCACATTCCTGGATGACAGAGAGGCCCACAGGACCCGGAGGGAGTGGGGTGCTAGGGCAGGCTTACCCAGCATGCTTGCAATACGACATTCTGTGCCAGTGGAAAGGTTCTATAACCTGTGCTGTCATCACAGTGGCCGCTAAACACCAGAAATGTGACCCAGGATCAGGGCATAGCACAGTGACTGAGAAACTGAATTTTAAAACTTTCATTAATTTACATGGGAATAGGGGCCCTCCCTGGTGGTACTATGGGTTAAAGCACAGCACCATGAAGTTCATGGCAGCTGCTTCAGCATGAGTTCAACCCCTGGCCAGGGAGGTGACCCGCATGGCGCGGCAGACCTCTCCTGATTCGCCCGCTGCTCCCCTCAGCAGAGTTTTTTAGTCCATCTGCCTGTTCTGCTCCCTGCTCTGCAGAGTACTCTCACTGCTTCTGCACCTCTGGCCTGTACCCCAGTTCAAAAATATAAATAAATAAATAAATAAATAAAATAATTTAAACGGGAATAGACACCATGTGGCCTGCGACCAATGAATCGGTATGCAGCTCTAACCAGAGAGGATGGGTACAGCGGCTGCCAGCCTGGCTTGCATCCTGCCTGCTTTCTTAGGGGCTGTGTGGCTCTGGGCAGGCAACTAACTTAACTCCTGAGCCATCATGAAGCTTGGGGGTGGCGGTGGCAGGAGGGGGATCCGCTGGGGAACAAAGGAGAGGGAAGACATGAATAATTCCCGCAATGCCCCCATCAATGATGATTACTTTCTGAAGGTCAAATCAGGGAACACCGCTAAGGCCTCCTAAAGCTTATTTCTTGCCAGTGTCTCAGGCATCATGGTGAACCTACAAAGTCAGAAAGTGACGATGTATTATTAAAAGCTGTATTGTCCTCTAGAAAGAGCACTGGATGGGGACACAGGCCCTTGGAGCAGCAAGAGTACAGTGCCCTTGTCTAGGGAGCCTGAGCGCTTGAGATCGGACCCCAGCTCTGCTGCCTACAAGCTGTATGACCTCGGACAAATGACTTCACTTCTCCGTGCCTTGCTTTCCCCCCCTGTGAAACGCAGACTAACTCCGCCTGGTAGGGGGGCCCTGGCTGGGTCTTCACTTGCTGGGTATCCTCCAGCAACTTATTTGCTCTCCGGACCCCAGGTTCCTCCTCATCTGAGTGTTGCAACAAGGGAACTGGAATGGATAAAATCCTAAGATGCCGAAAGGGTTGTCTCTAAGGTGTTGGGCCCTCGTGCCCTGCCCTGACCCCTGGCTTAGCCGGCCACTCACCGATGATGATGCCGCAGGTAAGCAAGGCATAGAAGGAGGTGGTCTGCTTGAGCAGCAGGTAGGAGAGCAGCACGTTGAAGACGGTGGTGAGAGAGCGGCCCACGTTGTAGAAGGCCACACCCACGTACTTGAGGCAGAGGTTGTTGAAAGTGATCATGCCGATGAAGACCACAGACAGGGGCAGGATGCTGCGGGCCACTTTGGGGTCCAGGCGCAGTGTGGGGAAGTCCACTGTCCCAGGGCAGCAAGTGGCCAGGGTGCTGAGGCCTTTGCACAGCAGCGCGGTGACCAGGCACTGGTAGAAGGTGACGAATATGGGGGTGTCCAGCTGCAGGGAGGGGCTGTCCAGCAGGTACTTGTTAAGGAACACCATGGAGATGGAGGTGACCCAGTAGAGAGAGACCACCAGTGCAATCTGGATGGCCCGCAGCAGGAAGGGCTTCTCTGTTTCCACCTCCGCATCTCCCGAGGCCTGGCTGGCCCCCATCAGTGCCATGTGCAGGATCCTGGACCGCTTCAGGGGGGCCCTGTTCATGGTGGCAGAAGGGCGTGGTCACTCTGGAGGAAGGGCAGTGAGCGCACTGCTGCTTTCTGCAACCTGCACCCCTCAGCTGTCACATGGCAGGTGGCCTAGAGGTCTCCCCACTTTCCTCTTGGGTGGGGAGGTACTGTTTTGAGGGGAGCTCATGAGACAAGACAGGAAATGGGCCGAGGTTGGACCTGACAGGTGAGCAGGGGTTGGTGCCGGTAGGGCTAAGTCGCAGGAAGAAGGGCGGAGAGGGGATTGGAAGACGCGGGAGGAGAAGGAATGCCGCTAAGGGTGCCCGAACAGCGTGGCGGCCAGCGTGGGGAAGACAGCAGAGAGCGGCAAGTCCAAGGCCAGATGGACAGGCCTGGAGAGGGGAGGCGGAGGCTGAGTCGGGAGAGGCTCTGCGGGGGGCTGGGGGTGGGTGGAGGTTGGAAAGAGGGGTGCAGCGGAGTTCAGAGGTGCTCAGGGCAGCGGTCCATAGGACGCGGAGGGGACCAGCCTAGTGCCGGCCCCAGCGAACCGCTCCCCGGGCGCCAGCTCCGCGCCGCCCGGAGCCCCCGGACGTCCGAGGCAGCAACCCCCGGGAGGCGGGGCCAGGCCCCACTTCCTGACACGCCCCCGAGCCGATCCTTAAAGAGCCCGCGGGCCGCGCGTGGTCCTTAAAGCCACAGCCCCGGGAAACAGCCCTGCGAGTCGGCTCGCGCCCCGCCCC